GATGCGGCATTGGCGCAGATGCGCGGGCCACCAAGGCTCAGCCGCGCGGGGCAACGCCGCGTCGCCAGTTTTTGAGACGCCAGCGATGCCCCCCCACTGCGCGCGCAAGTCCGCGGCAGAGGGCCGCTCAGAAGATGGCCGGGGGGGGGCTCGGCCGGGGAGGGCTGAGCCGACCTTTTCCACCAACGCATTTAGAACACTGTCTATGCAATGCAGGGCGGGGCGCGCGGGGGGCACTTGGCGAACGCGAGCGGGGCGCCGCCAGGCGATCGCGCGGTTCCGAGCTGTGTCCTGGCCGGCGGCGACGGGTTTCAGCATGTATGATCGACGCCGTTAACGAGGATCCGCGGCAGCAGGCCCCTCGCCCCCCCCCTCCTGGGCGGCCTGCAGAACTGGGGTCCCAGCGGCCGCTCGCTCTTATCGTGGTGGGCACCCGGAGGGGGCCAGTGGGTTTGTCAGTCCTGCGAGTCAGGGGAGTTTTCCAGGGGCCACTATGGCGTTCCCGCGGCCTGCGCCGAGGAGCGCGAGGGCGCCGCGGCCGCCCTGGGGGGAATTTGCGTTGCTGACAGAGCCTCAGTCGTAGCTGGATTTTTCTGTCGGTGCATCTGCTGCCGCGGCCGCCTCGCAGATAGTTGAAATTCGTGGGATCCCGGCGAGTTCTTAGCTCGGGCCCCTATCTTGCCGCGCGTTGCTCGCGCGACCTCCGCAGGTGTCGGCGCGGCCCCGCTCGCCGGGGGAGGCAGAGGCCGACGGCGCGCAGCCCTGCAGAAGGGCTTGCACAGGTGGGGGCAAGGGCTCTCGACCTCAGGAACAACTGCCCCCGCGGCAATTGGGGGCGCGCGCGAAGAGGCGGGGGCAGGGCAGGTGCGCTTCAAAGGCCCAGCGGGCCCCCCTTCCCCCCCGCTGGCGACGGAGCTCGCCACCGCGAAGAACGAGTGAGCGGTCAAAAGGAGGGGCGGGCCGCGACTCGGGCTCGCCGCGTCTCTGGGCGGCGGCGACGCCGTTGCCCGCCTTTCCCGCCGCGGCATTGGAAAGGCGAAGAGAGGGGCCCCAGTGCATATTTAAGACCGCGCAGCGCGCGGGCGCTCCTGGAGTGGAGCCAGCCCAGCAGATATGATTAAAGATTGGCGCCGCATGCGTCGGGCCCCGCTCCGCTGGCAAGATTGGGGCTCGAGTTCTCGGAACATTGACCAGTCAGAATCAACCTGCAGCAAGAACGGATGCCCGAGAACTAAAAGCCCCACTCGCGGGAGTTGATCAACGCCGCGGGCGGTTTCGCGCGGGCCACCCTGGGCCGCCCCGGGCGTCGACGGCGAGCGGCCTCGCGAAAATGCTCGAGATGGCGCCAATCTGCGGGCTGGCGCGCGGGCTAATGACGGTGCGGGCAGATGCGGCAGAGCGAGTGCATCATCTAGGTTTAAGCTATATTACAACCCAGCCAGTACATTCTTTGCGAAGGACGCGGTATCTCATGGTCAGATTCATGGATCCCCCCCTTTCTCCCTTTCTCTCCTGGTTCCGAGTGCCCCCCTGCTCTTTCTTGCTTTCGATCAGAATCTTCGGGGGGGTGGGCCTGAGCCCCTGCGGACGCAGAGTTCACATGAAAGAATACTGTCGCCGTTTGTTTTGCGCGCGCCTTCGCGCAAAGGTACCCCCCCCAGGGCTGCTTGCGCAGCGGGCGGAGGTGCCGGGCCGCGCGTTCCCGATTGAGTATAGGTTCGTAGAAGATCGCTGGTTTTTTTCTGGCCGATAGCGGTTGTTGCGTCACCCGGGCGGGGGCGGGCGCCGGTAGTTTCGCGGTGGCGCCGTCGTTCGTTATTCCCCATCCCTGATTATCTTTCCCCCCATCGTCGTCGCGGTGGTCGTCGTCGTGTTCCTGCCTTTCCTATTCCGTTGGGCTATTTGAGCCCTGCAGAACGGGACATTTGCCTTGCGCGTGCATTCTTAGCAGGAAGCTGTGTACACATCTCGCGGCCAGGCAGGACGCGAGCTGGATACACATATGGCCGCATGACTTTATTCACCCCTCGCTTGGCGAATTACACCAGCCATCCGCACGTGTATTCAGCAACTGGCGTCCGCATGTCCCGCGTGTGATTCGAACTTCGTGTGTTTCCAGCTTTTTGGCTTGCTTGCGACACCCAGGATTCCTTGATGTTCGATCGTGGTGTGGGCATACCGAAAAATGAGCCTGGCGAAGGACCCGACCATATGCAGTTGTGAGTACCGTCTTTGTGAGCAACGCATTCGGTGGGGCTCCCTATGGGGCCACGAAATGTTGTCCTGGGTGGAGCTCCTTATGGGGCCACGAAGCGCTGTCCTCGGCGGGGGAGACGCATGCGAACACCACTACTGAGGCCTTCGGTGGAGCTCCCTATGGGGCCACGAAGCGCTGTCTTGGGTGGGGGAGACGCATGCGAACACCCCGATTATGGCCTTCGGTGGAGCTCCCTATGGGGCCACGAAGCGCTGTCCTGCGTGGGGGAGACGCATGCGAACACCTTCGGTGGAGCCTTCGGTGGAGCTCCCTATGGGGCCACGAAGCGCTGTCCTGGGTGGGGGGGACGCATGTGAACACCCCCACCAGGGTTTTCAGTGGAGGTCCCTATGGGGCCACGAAGCACTGTCTTGGGTGGGAGAGACGCATGCGAATACCCCGATTGAAGCCTTCGGTGAAGCTACAATGGGACCACGAAGTGCTGTCCTGGGCGGGGGAGACGCATGCGAACACCCCCAGTGGGGCCTTCGGTGGAGCTCCCTATGGGGCCACGAAACGCTGTCCTGGGGGGGGGGAGACGCATGCGAACACCCCCGGTGGGGCCTTCGGTGGAGCTCCCTATGGGGCCACGAAGCGCTATCCCAGATGGGGGAGACGCATGCGAACACCCCCACTTGGGTTTCGGTGGAGCTCCCTATTGGGGCCACGAAGCGTTGTCTTGCGCGGGGGAGACGCATGCAACTCCCTATGGGGCCACGAAGCGCTGTCCTGGGCGGGGGAGACGCATGCGAACACCCCCAGTGGGGCCTTCGGTGGACCTCCCTATAGGGCCACGAAACGTTGTCCCAGGTGGGGGGGGACGCATGCGAACACCGCCACTGTGGCCTTAGGTGGGACTCCCTGTGGGGCCACGAAACGTGCGAGGGGTGTGACGACATTGGCAGTGGGGACGATGATGGTGACGATGATTACGAGAATGTGGATGAGGATGATGCTGCAGATGATGATGCTGATGAGGAGGAGGAAAGGAAAGGAGAGGAGAGGAACGCGGGACGCTGTCTCTTCAAAACAAGGACCCATCACCACAGGATGGTTGGGAAAAAACTGCGGCGCGCCGATGGTGACGTTCAGCTGGAAGTGACCTGCGCGAATCGCATGGGATGACGCCGTTCCGGACGCCCCCAGTGATCCCCAGCGATGTGGTGCGCAGTTTGTTGCGCAGCGAAGCCGTTTGCAACGCAATACAGAGGAACAGGCCGACACGGGGAGGAGCACGAGGAAGAGGAGGAAGAGGTGGAATCGTTGAAGGAGGAGGAGGAGGAAGGGGCGTTGGAAGAGGAGGTGTTGGAGGAGGAGGAGGAGGAGGAGGAGGACGACGACGACGACGACGGGGCCATCCCTCCTCGGGCCCACGGGCGCCAAGATCCGTTCGGCCAGGCCCGGCCTGGCTTGCCTTTGCCTTCGCTCCGGCTCCCTCCCTCAGTCCTCTGTCCTGGCGTGAAGCTCTTTGCCGTGCAATGGTGAGTACCAGGACGAGGAGAGGAAGGAAGAGGAGGAGCTGGAGGAGGAGGAGGACGGTGTGCCCCGCGGGCTCGACCCCGGGTACAGCCACAGCGCCAGTCTGAAGGTCGACCCCGATGGTGTTCAAGACCTCGGTGTGCGAGGCGGGTTTCAAATCACCATTTAAATCGCTGCAGTGCCTCGCTGGTGTCAGGTTCGCTGACGCGAGCGAGCGGGCCCCCCGGTCTGCCCGGGTGGACGTGGGCGGGGCCATACAGCTCCAGTTTGTTGGTCGTAGTCTTATCGATTTCAAAAAAAAATCCGCATGGCGCAGGCTCTGCCAGATCAGATCCCGATCGGTATCAGATCAGTTTTGTATTATTCCTGGGCGTTGCTGGGCGGCGCCCGCGCGAATCGTGACAATACCACACAAGGGGCGGGGCTGGTAGTTGCCGCAATCGCGAATGACGGACTACAGCAGACACGTTGTCGAAGGCCCTTTGGCGAATTGTAAGCCAGATTTTGCGGCGCCCGCGAAAAGTGGTCTTTGATCTGGTATGGACATCGATGCCGATCACAGCAACAGCGGAGATCTCCGACGTCGTGGTTATTTGGCGGCGTGACCCCCTCGAAACATTGAAGGAGTTGGGTTGGCTTGGCTCCTCCTCCTCCTACTCCTCCTCCTCCTCCTCCTCCTCCTCCTCCTCCTCCTCCTCCTCCTCCTCCTCCTCCTCCTCCTCCCCCTCCCCAGGGCGAAGGGGCGTGGACCACGAGGAAGGGGGCGAGGGGGCAGGGACAAGGCCGGGAGGGGCCGAAGAAAGGTCGGTCCCAGTTGCGCTGGGGGGCGCGCGGCGGCGGCGCGCGGTCCGCAGGAGCGAAGCACGGCGGAGAGGAGGGAGGGAGGGAGGGAGGGAGGGGGGGTGGGAGAGAAGGAGGAGGAGGAGGCTCCCAGGAGAACGGCGGAGGAGGAGGAGGAGGAGGAGGCTTCCAGGAGAAGGAGGAGGAGGAGGAAGAGGAGGAGGAGGCGCCCAGGGGGGGAGGAGGAGGAGGGGAGGAGAAGGAGGAGGAGGAGGAGGGAGGAGGAGGAGGGGGAGGGGAGAAGGAGGAGGAGGAGGAGGAGGAGGAGGAGGAGGAGGAGGAGGAGGAGGAGTAGGAGGAGGAAGAGGAGGAAGAGGAGGAGGAGGAGGAGGAGGAGGAGGAGGAGCAGCTGGACCAGCAGGAGGCCGCGCGCGACGCGGCCGCGCGCGCGCGCGTGGGAGCAACCCCCCCCCCGTCGCGCCAGGCTGACGCTTGGCACCGCCGACGGGTCCCAGGCCGGGCCGGGCGGCGGGGCGGACGCCACGAAAGCGTCGATCGAAAGGGGTACGGACAGAACGGGCACGAAGACCGACAGCAGGTCTTGTCCAAAGTTCGGGCGAAAAGAACGGGGGCAGCGTTAGGGATGGGTTCAGGGGGGATGCAGCGACCCCCAGTCGCCCATTCATCGCCGATGGGTGCCCGGTAGCCCACCCCGCCCTGCACATTCCGGACTCCTCATCCGGAGCCTATCGTTGATCCATCAGCGATTTATCTCCGATTTCTGCTCGACGCTTTCCCCCCTGAGCCGGTCCCCCCCCTGTATCGTTACCCTTCCGGACGCCACTCAGAGGCGACGATAGGGGCGAATAGCCCAGGGGAGAGCAAGACATGTATTCAGGTGCGCCGATGATAATGCCCGCCCCTGGGCCATTCGCCCCTATCGTCGCCGCCGAGCCACGATGAATCGCTGGGGTGCTGAGATCTGTGCACACACACACACACACACTTGCGAGCCGGCACACTTGCGAGCCGGCGGTGCAGAGGGTCCTCAAGCGCGGGCGGCCGATGGAAGTGCCAACTGCGACCGAGCATCGCCGAAGGCACAGTGTACCAAGCGTCGCACACCAGAGAGTGCAGCAATGGATACACATGCAGTCGGCCCAGAGTAGTAGGGCGACCCTGCCAGATCAAGGGTGCCCTTGTGTCCCGTGTCTCGCGACCCATACTTCCTACGTTCCTGCGGCAATGTGGCCCTCGGAAGGGTATCGTGTCCTCTCGCGTGTCCTGTCCAATCGAGTCTGACTGTACGCACGCACGCACGCACGCACGCACGCACACGCACACACACACACACACACACACGCGCGCACACATGCGCACGCACACACACGCACACACACACACACACACCGATCCCGGCCAGGCCCATCCCGTGCCCAGGATCGACGTGTGGCCCCCCTGGGCCAGGCCGTGGCCGGCGCGTGCGCCGACTCTGCGCTCCGCAGGAGCCTGCAGGGGGGCTGGTGTGCGGGCTGTCTTCTCGAACGCACGAGTGGCGCTCTCGGGGTTTTCAGTGGAGGCCCACGCCATCGTCTCCAGGGTGCCCAGAGTTTCTTGGGTTTCGATGGTTTTGCTACGGAAAGCGTGACGCTCCCACAGCAAAAATCAGGGGACGTCCTGGGGTCTCCGGGTTGGGTTTCTTGTGGGAGGTTTTTTGAAGCCGACCTCCTGCTGTACAGTCAACGCGCACAGTAAGGATGGGCAACCTTCCCAACGGTACCCTTGCATCCTTGCCTCCTCGGTCCATCCTTCGCCGCTTTCGCTTGCCGCGCCCCGTTCGAAAAGCTTCGAAATGAACGTCCAAGGCCCTTGCATCCTTAATCGCGTATCCTTACTATACTGGTTGACTGCATCTGGCGTGCGCGTCGGTATTCGGAGGTCTTCTAGCCTCGGGACGCGTTCCAGCAGCCGCGCTCCGCCGAGGGAGTTCGAAGCGTGCGCGGAGCGCCCCAGAGCGGCCGCCGGGAGCCCGAAGTTGTGACCCGAAGGCCGAGCGGCACTTCGGCAGAGAGGCCTTTGGTGCGCGGCGTCCCCGGAATATTTTGCGACGCGGAAAAGCCACGACATGAGGTTTCAGGTGAGGAGGAGGAGGAGGAGGAGGAGGAGGAGGAGGAGGAGGAGAAGGGGGATGAGGAGGAGGAGGGAGGAGGAGGAGGAGGAGGAGGAGGAGCAGGAGGAGGAGGAGGAGCAGGAGGAGGAGGACCTGTGGTGCGCGGCGTCCCCAGAATATTCAGCGATGCGGAAAAGCCACGACGTGAGGTTTCAGGTTTCTTGTTTTTGGTTTTGATTCCCCCTCCATGGATGGAGGGGGGGAGACATCCAGCGTCTTGAACAATTGTTCCGACGGGAAGGCCCCACATGAGAACTTCTTCAATTCGCCTGAGGATCCCATCGTGCGTCCCCTCCTCCCACATCCTCCTGCCTCCTCCTCCTCCTCCTCCTCCTCATCTTGCCTCATCCTCATGCCTTCGCCTGTTTCTGCCTCCTCCTCCTCCTCCTCCTCCTCCTCCCAATGCCTTCTCCTGCCTCATGCCTCCCGCCTGCCGCTGCTCCTCCTCTTCCTCCTTCTCGGTTTCTTCCATTTCCTCCTTCCCGTCATCCTCGTCCTCGCCCTCCGCCTCCTCCTCCTCCTCGTCCTCCTACTTCTGCCTCCTCCTGCTCCACCTCCTGATCCTCTCTCCTCCTCCTCCTCCTCCTCCTCCTCCTCCTCCTCCTCCTCCTCCTCCTCCTCCTCCTCATCCTTCTCCGGCCTCCTCCTCTTCCTCCTCCTTGGGCCCCCTGCCTCATCCTTGGGCTTCCTGAAGCTTCCTGGGGCGTCCTGCAGCTTTCTGGTGCCTCCCGGGGCCTCATGGGGCACTCTTTCTTTTCTTGCTCATCCATAGTCTCCTCCTCATCCTGCCTGTTCCTCCTCCTCCTGCCTCCTCCTCCTCCTCGTCCACGTCCTCTTCGTCAGTATCATCCTTGTCCTGCCTCTTCCTCTGGCCTCCTCCTGTATCCCCCTTGAGCCTCGTGCCTCCTCCTGGGGCCTCCTGTTCACCAGGGCTTCCTGGTGGCTCTGGGGCCTCCTGCGGCATCCTGGGGCCTCCTGGTGCAGGGCTCCCGGCCGAGGCTTCGTCGCGATTCACTCACTGGCGAGGCTCCCGCTCGAGGCATCCTCCAGATTCGAGCCTGGGGGGCCAGAAAGTGGCGCAGTTGCAAGATTTGGAGGGCCCCGCTCGGATTCCAACATGGAGGTGAGGGCCCTCCAGGGAGGGCAGGCTCAAGCCCGAGGAGCCTAATCCTCAACACGAAGCGTGGGCCCCATGGGGAGGGGGGGCCCTTCGCTCTCGACATCCTCACGGTTCACCCCAGCTGCTGTGCTCGGGTGCTTTGCCTGCTACGCTACGCCGATGACCTGCTCGGACTATTAACATGATCTGCGGGCCCCACAGGGAGGGGGCTCCCGCCTAAGACTCCCTCGCAATTCACTCACAGACGAGGCCACCGCTCGAGGCATCCTCACTGCTTGCCCCCACGGGAGTTGCTCAAGTGCAATGTCTGGTGGAGTTTTCCGATGACCCGCTCGAATTACCAACATGAAGTGCGGGCCCCACTAGAAGGGGGCTCCCGCCTGAGGCGTCCTCGCCAGGCAGTCACAGACGAGGCCCCCTCTCGAGACACCCTCGCGTGTTGCCACCTTCGGGTGCTCAAGTGCTATGCCTGGTGGAGTTTTCCGATGGCCCGCTCGAAGTACCAATAGGAAGTGCAGGCCCCACTGGCCCCATAGGGAGGGGGCTCCCGCCTAAGGCGTCCTCGAAATTGACTCACAGACGAGGCCCCCCGCTCGAGACATCCTCACGTTTTGCCACCTTGGGGTGCTCAAGTGCTACGCCTGGTATAGTTATCCGATGACCTGCTCGAATTACCAGGATAGGGAGGGGGCTCCCGACTCCCGCCTGAGGCCACATCGCAATTCACCCACGGACGATGCCCCCCGCTCGAGACATCCTCACGGTTTGCCACCTCGGGTTGCTCAAGTGGAATGTTTGTTGGAGTTGCTAAAATGAAGTGCGGACCCCACAAGGAGGGGGGTCCCACCTGAGATGTCTTCGCAATTCGCTCACAAACGAGGCCCCCTCTCGAGACATCATCACGATTTGCACTCTTGGGATGCTCAAGTGCTATGCCTGGTAGAGTTTTCCGATGACCCGCTCGAATTACCAGCATGAAGTGTTGGCCCCATAGGGAGGAGGCTTCTGCCTGAGGCGCCCTCGCAGTTCATTCACAGACGAGGCCCCCGTTCGAGACGTCATCACGATTTGCCACTCTGGGTGCTGAAGTGCAATGCCTGGTGGAATTTTCCGATGGCCCGCTCGAATTACCAACATGAAGTGCGGGCCCCATAGGGAGGAGGCTCCCGCCTGAGACTTCCTCGCAATTCACTCACAGACGAGGCCCCCGCTCGAGACATCCTCACACCTCGCCGCCTTCGGGTGCTCAAGTGCTATGCGCGGTCGAGTTGTCCGATGACCCGCTCGGACTACCAACATGAATTGCGGACCCCATAGGTCGTGTGGTTCCGTCTGAGATTTCACCACAATGTATTCACGGACGAGGCATGCGCTCGGGATGTTGATTGATAATGGCGATGCTGGCGATAGTGAGGAGGACGATGGTATTGTCGGTGTGCGATGGTGGTGATCATGATTGGATGTTGTAGTGTTGATCGATGATCTTTAGATGGGGAAGGGAGGGGGTGGGATCTTCTGCGCGGAAGGTAGGCAGAGAAATTGACCGTGGGTGCGTGGTTGATTGAGTGAGTTGAACGATCGTGAGAGATGAGTGGGTCATTGTTGGTCACGATGATGGTAATGGTGATGATGAGGAGGAGGAGGAGAAGGAGGAGGATGAGGATGATGATAATGCTGAGGATGAGGATGATGAGGATGATGATGACGATCATGATGATGAGGATGATGTTGATGATGTTGATGCTGTGAATGTGGATGAGGATATGGATGTTGACGATGCTGTCGATGATGAGGGCGACTATGATGATGATGCTGATGATGCGGGTAAGAAGGACACATATCATGATGATGCCGATGATGATGACGATGATGATGATGGTGCTGCTGATGATGATGATGATGAAGATACTAGTTGTGTGTGCTGGTCACGGAGATGATGATGAGGATGATGAGGATGATGATGATTATGATGGCGGCGATGGTCATGATGATGACTATGATGACAACCACTATGATGATGGTAATAAGAAGGATGATGATAATGCTGATGATGATGATGATGATGATGATGATGATGATGACCATGATAGTGATGGTGATGGTGATGGTGATGGTGATGGTGATTTCCAGGGCTGGAGAGAGGAGGGGGTGAGAGAAGTAGGACTGCGCGGGGTGTCCGGAGAAAACAAGAACCCAACTTAGGATGCGGGGAAGACAAGACACTCGTGTTTCGTTGTGTTCTGTTTCCGGGTGCCCTCGCCGGACCCCGGGGCCCGTCGAAACAGGCTCAGGGTGAGAAGACGGTCCCGGGGAAGGGGTGTAGGCCTGTGGGGTCCACGTTGTGGAAAATGGAGAGGTCACGTAGCAACAGGGGCAGACGGAGGGTGGGGAGGAAATGCGGGGGGCAAATGGTCAAGGATCAGGACAACAAATCGCAGGAAGTGGAGGAAGAGCGAGAAGAAGCTCGCAAACAGGCGCGCGCGGCGGAAACAATAGGATCACCTAGAAGGACAGTCAGCCCATCTCAAGAAGAGGGGGAAGGCATTAGGAGGCGGAGAAGGATGAGTAAGTGGACAAGGAATGGACTAAAAACGTGTGGAAGGACGACGACGAGGACCACGAGCAGCAGCAGCAGCAGCAGCAGTAACATCAGCAGCAGCGTAATGATGATTTGGAGTCTGCTGGATTCGAGAAGGTAGCTTCAGCAGCCATATCAGTTCGTCTCCCCCAAAGCCATGTAAGGAGCTGGGGCATAATCATATCTCGCTGCTATCCTTTTCAAATCGCATGATCAAGATGGACACTTTGACCACCCTCAGCCGCCCTGATGTGAGGGAGGTGGAGGGATACACTTATCAGCGAAGAGGAATGATAGGCTAGTTTGGAAGTGCCAGTATTCTATACCACCTACGCCCAGGGGGCGTATCGGATTTGAACATGTTGCCGCCCTCTTCATCTTGTCTCTCTCTCTCTCTGTCTCTTCATACTCCGCTCCCCCCTTCCTCCGTGTTGATGGAAAAGGATGGGTCGAGAAGGGGGCGGGCTCGAAAGAGGCAGAGGCGAGAGAGAGGGGCTCGGGAGAGGGAGAGCGATCGAGGGGGCATCCGGGGTCGAGGGATGGGGGCGTCTAAGGGCGAGCACGGCCCAGAAGGAAGGGATGGGGGGGGGGAATAGGGGGAGCGACAAGAAGGGTACGCTCGCGCCACATCTGACGTCCTCTCCCTCCCTCCCATCCCTTCCCGTTGCGCCGATTCTCGTTCGGCGGACGCGCGTCAAAGCTGACCTGGAACTCCAACGCATCGTGTTCGGCGCAGTCGGAAAAAGGGTAGCGGTGAACATAGGATGAGGAGGAGGCGGAGGGTGAGCAGGAGGAGGAGCAGGAGGAAAGGGAGGAGGATGTGGAAGGAAAGGAGGGTGACGAGGACGAACAGTAGCAGCAGGAACTGAAGTTGAAGGAGCGGGAGGAGCTGGAGGACCAGGGGAAGGCGGCAGATGGGAGATGAGCGGGGCGACAACGATGAAAGATGATTCGGATCAAGAGAAGTGTCCCACGCTGTGGCGGGAGTACCTCTAAACACCGAGAACAATCGGTTTACACAAAACCAAAGGGGAGACCACCTTGGTCCAGCTCTTTGTGTAAGACACAATACGAGGAGATGACCAGCCATCTTCCAGACGGAATCAGGGGAGAGAGGGGAGTAGTGCTCATAATTTGTAAGTGTGGAGAAGGAGCGGCAGGGTGACGGGGTGGTGGAAGGGCGGGGAGGGATGCTGAGGCGGAAGGGGGCCGGGAGTGTCGGAGGCAGGATGGGGAGGAGGGGGGCTTTCAGCGCGTCAGATTTCCTGGCCGGCGGCCAGCCAGGAACCATGCCGACCCCATGCGGGCCCCCCCCCCGCTATTTTTTCGAAAAACAATAAAAGACGCATTTCGCTTCCACATTTGGAGCATGCGCGGCCAACCCGATGCGGCCCCCCCCCCCACCGTCCCTGTCAACTTTGGGGCAAAGCCTTGAGTCATGTTCGTGAGGCCCGCGAGCACTTTGTTTTTGACAGGGACGGCGGGGGTGTCAGCATATTCCCTACTGTGCGCAGGGCTACCATCCCTTACAACGAACAATACAAAATGCACCTAGCGGCTAAAGCTGGATCATGCGCGGGCACCCCGCAATCATTGTCAAGCGGTTTTTGTCAGGGACGGCGGGGGTGACGGCGCGTGGCTTGCTGTGCGCAGGCCCACCAAACACAGTGATGGGCATTTTCGAGAAGGATGGTGAGGGCCGTCATGTTTCCCGATTTGTGACGCACTCTGCACGTGCCCCGAACGTGGCGCACCTGACGCGGCTGGAGTGTGCGGCAAGCCTGGCGCACTCGGAGTACGTATCGCATCTGGCGCACCAGGCGTGCCTGGCACGCTCGGGCCCCACGGGTGCTTGGCGCGCGTGGCGCTCCTGGCACGCGTGGCGCACCTCGCCCAAGCGTTGAGCACATGGGGTCGGCGTTGGTTCCCAGCAGTTGCCAATCCAAAGACGACCGCTAAACATGCTCAGGCTCGGGTGTTATTTACGTGCTGGGAGGGCGGGTGGGAGTGAATTAGACGGCTTGCGGGCGGGTGGGTAGCTTGACCCCTCCCCCTACCCTCTCCCTTGGGGTTGGGAGGCGGGGTGGCCGCAGAGCCTACGATGGCATCCAATATTGCTCAGGATATTTCAAGATGGCTCAAGATTGCTTCCGACAGAAATCCAAGAGACCTCGAGACGACCCCAAGACGGCTTCAAATGCCTTCGAGCCCTCCAAGGACCCCCACCAAGACGCCAACATGGCTCCCAAACCGGAGGAACACACTGTATTTTGTTTTGTCGCCTTGTCGCTTCCGATGGGCCTTGAGGCCTCAAGACGGCCTTAAGGCGGCCCAAGAGAGCCCCAAGAGGGCCCCAAGAGCGCCCGAGAGCGCTCCGAGAGCGCGCCAAGAGCGCGCCAAGATGGCCCCAAGACGCCCGTTTTGAGCCTCCGAGGGGGTGTGCTGAAGTTGTCCCTTGTCCCCACCACCCATTTTTGAGCCATGGGGCCCAAGAGGCCCCCATATCTTCCAGGGAACCCCAAGAGGGCCCCAAGACCTCCAAAATGAGTCCCACGCGGGCCCCAAAAAATTGCCCAAGAGGCCCCACAGGGGGCCCTCATAGATCCCCTAAGCTCAAGATAGCCTCCGACAGCCTCACGCCGAACATGGCTCAAGATAGCCCCCATGATGCCTCAAGAAAGCCTCCGATCGTGTCTGGATCGGCTAGTGAGGATACGCGAAGCGTCAAGCATTGACCGTCCTTCCCAGAATATGTCCCATCTTGAAAAAAGTATGTTGGTTAATCGTTCCCTTGCGCTTGTTCCTTTGGCCTGTCGCAATTCATCGGCGATGCGGCTTGGTATGGAGGCCTTTGTTGGCCATGCCGACTGTGCCCATGCATCGCCGACGTGGCCGACGCATCGCCGATGCATTGGCGCTGCGGCGAGATCCTCCGACCCCACATGCTCGGGCCCTATTTGGAGGCTTACAGTCGGGGCGCTGAAGAAGGAACCCTGTTCGCCGGGGAGGGGCTCGGCGCTCCGTGAGAGTTCTACATTTTGCCTCCGATGTTCTTGAGGTTTTCGATGGGAGATCGAAGCTTCACTTACAGTCGGCCCTGATCCGTAGGTCGACCCGGCCAGCTCAAGGGTGCCCTTGTGTCCTGTGCCTCGCGACACGTGCCTTCTTACACTCCTACGGCGACGTGGCCTTCGCAAGGGTCTTGTGTCCTCTCGCGTGCCCTCTCCAGTCAGGTCCGACCGTATGGAAAAAGGGGGCCTCACTCATTGTTTAGGGTTCCCTGGGTCGAGGCCTCGACCGTACTCGCTCTCGCGAGGCGCGCGTCCTCGATCTGGAGTGGCAGCGGGAGCGTGCGGAGAGGCGAGCCAGGGCGGGCGCCCCGCCCCGCGCGGGCCATCACTGTGTGCCCCCCGAAGGCGGCGGCCCAGTTCGACATCGCGGAGGCGGGCTCGGCCAAGGTGAGGGCCGAGGACCTCCCGGGGAAGAGGCCGGGGCTGGACCTGAACGGTGTCTCGGCGATCTCGTGAGCCGTTTGCGTTTCGACCCCGTTCTGCAGTGGCGGTGGGCTGCAGACGAAACGAGGGACAACGAGAACAGCGCGAAAACGAACACACACACCGTTTAGGTTCAGCCCTGGAACAGACAGTGGCACGAGCATCCGTGCGGAGTTCTCGGGTCGGCGCCAGGGCCCCCCCGGCGGCGCCTCCCGCGCCGCCCCCAGGGGGGGGGGCTCCAGCGCCGAGCCGAGGAGTCCGTGCGGACCTGCGAGCTGTGGTGTTTGTGTCACTGGTTCGGGCCGGGCGAAAGGGGGGGGATTGGGAAAGGGGGGGTTACGAAATTTGCTGCATGCAGCTGGTTTTGGCCTCGCCGAGGGGCCCATTCCTCGATACATAGCCGCCTCCGGCGCCGGGAGGCGCCGGGAAAATCAGCTACGTGAGCTGATTCTCAAACCCCCCCTTTGCCATCCCCCCCTTTCGCCCGACCCGACTGGTTGCCCCCCCGAGGACAAGAAGACCCGGACGCGTGCTGAGCGCACGCTCAGGCGACGGGGCGCCTGGGGCAGGAGGTACCCTTGCACGCCGGTCGTTGAAAGTAGGTAATCTTGGATTCCCAGATCGCCATCTACTTCAAGCGCCTTCCTGCTTCAAGAATCGGAATGCTTTTGCTGTGTTCTGTTCTTCTCTGGGGGGGCCTGGGCCCAATCTACTATACCCGCCTTCCTACGATTCATGTTTCTACCTACTTCTTCCGACCGACGTGTACCTCTACAGAGACGCACGTCTTTTCCTCCAGTTTTCGTCTTCCGGGGGCCTTCACCAGGCCCCGGGACCATATAACAAAAACGTTTTGGGATAAGACGCCGGTCTCGGGGAAGGTCCAGATCTCTGGGGCGTCCGCGTTTTTGAGTCACGACGTCGGAGTTCTGGGTACAGTCAACCCGCACAGTAAGGATGGGCAACCTTCCTAAGGGCACCCTTGCATCATTGCCCCTTCGGCCCAACCTTAGCGACTTTCGTTGGCCAGTCTCGTTCGAAAAACTGTCACATGGGCCTCCACGGCCCTTTCAGCCCTACCGCGATTCCTTCTGACACGGGTTGACTGCATTCGGGTAGAGCTAAGGGCCCGAGAGATCGAGGTCCCCAGAAGTCGAACGCATGGTGTTTTTCAACACGGGGTCCCTGGAAGTCCCGACCCTTTCCCCAATCGGGGCTGAAAAGAGAAGGGGGCCAATGCCAGCGGGGGTTCAGTCAGAGCGCCGGATCTTGCAGGATCCCGCGGAGTCGGGGTTGCACTGACCCGGGCTTGGTTGCAGGATCCTGCAAATCCTGCAAGGCCCACTGGCCTAGGGCTGCTTGACGTGCCACGTTGTCACGTCGTGCGCGTTCGCGGGGGGTGGGAGCACCCACTGCGGCGCGAGCATGCTCGCGCCGCAGCGGTCGGCAACGCCTGGGTGTTGGACGACTTTGGGGCGGGGGGGGGCGCGCGCGTGCGCGCAGCCCGTAAATAAATTAGTGTCTGTTTGGAAGTAACTGAACATTCAGTTTCTGAGCAGGTTAGCGGAAACATGCCATGCAGGCTAAACGATTATTGAGTTCGATAGATGAGTCCGACGAAGTAGAGTAGCTAAAGCACTTAGCTAGCCAACTTCATACCACGCTAACTGAACCCTAAGCACAGCGGCGATCGCAGGAGGGTCGGGTGAATCGGAGCAGGTTAATCGCGATCGGGTGAACCAGCTTGTCCCCTAATATGCAGCACAGGGAGCTCGAACAAGCCTGAAGACAGCGCGTATGTGTCGCAGTTTCAGTGCTTTCTTGAGGGCTCTCTCTTTGGCCGCTTCAGTGGCCTCTTGGGCTCAACCGTGGACCCTTCTGAAGGTTTTGGGCTGATCTTTGGGCCAGTTTGGACGTATTGGCCTCTTGGGGCCCACAAGTATATTGTGTTGAAGGCATGCTCCCAGGCCGATAAGGAGCACGCAATACACTTTTCTAGCACAAAGCAGGTATCTCGACATTGGTTAACTGACCTCTCAGTTGTACACCGAATTCTTGGATTTCGTCGGGGCGGCTTCAACACGGCCCAGGAGTGCTCGAAGCAGATGCCAAGATGAGCCCACATGGCTTCCGCAGGACATGGAGAGCCCATGGGAACCCCCAAGACAGCGCCCAGACTAGGACTGCACCAGAGGGCGACTACTCGAAATCCCTTGATAATCGACCCCCCCAAAAAAACACCAGACCCCCCCTTCAACGGCAACCTAATTTTCCCGACCCCCCCTGGCAACATGGGGCCTTCATATTCTGGACCCTCGTCTTCGCTTCCAAAAAAAAAATGTCTCAAAAAACCGGACCTAGGAGACGATGATTCGGGGATTTCGAGTACAGGGGCCATGGCATGCCCAAAAGGGTCTTCCGACCTTGGGCCATGACATTCCCAAACGTTGCAAAAACGCCGCTCGTGGGACTTGAACGCCGCGAACCAGAAACGTGCCAGAACACAGTACCTGGGAGCTCAAAGAAGCGTATCAACGTGACAGTCGCGTCTTGACAATCCGAAACCGTGCCAAAACACAACTTCTAGAACGCCAGACATAGGAATCCTTGAAACTGTTGTCAAATGCAACGCGCATGTGCGCGGCGCTAAGGCGGGAGACACATTTTGAAAAGGCGTCGCCCTCCGTCAGTTAAAAGCTTCCCGATTGTTAAGACGAATGTGCGAGGCGCCAAGGCGGCGAAAACAACTTGAATACAGACTTCCGTCCGTGAAGTTCTTGCGAACTTGTCAAGCGAATGCGCGCGGCGCTAAGGCGAGAACCACATTTTTTGAAAACGACCCGCCCTCCATCCGTGAAGCTTTTGCAAATGTTTGAAACGAATGCGCGCGGCGCCAAGGCGAGAGCGCATACTTAAAACCGCCCGCCCAACAGTGTTGCACATTCGAATTCTCAGGATCATGAATGGTGAGGAGGTCTCAGGCGCAACGTCTCGCCCGCCCTGCCAAGCGGCCTCGGGGCGCGACAGGGAGGAGTTGTCTAGAAGGCAGTAGGATCGGAGGAGGAGGAGGAGGAGCAGCAGTAGGATCGGAGGAGGAGGAGGAGGAGGAGGAGGAGGAGGAGGAGGAGGAGGAGCAGGAGGAGGAGGAGCAGGAGGAGAGGAGGAGGAGGAGAGAGTCGATGTTTGCCCCCCGAACTGCCCCCCCCCCCCCCCCCAGAACGTGCCCCTCGCCAGGGCATTCGCCGCCCTCAAGGGCGGCAAGCACCTCGAGGTGTACCCGTGGCCCGCCCGGGCGCTCGGCGAGCCGGCCCAGGAGAGCCTGCTGGAGTTCCCCGAGGAGCCCCTGGGCGCCCCGTCCTCACGATCAGGAGGATCCAGGTCTCCTCCTCCTGCTCCTCCTCCTGCTCCTGCTCATCCTCCTCCTCCTGCTCCTGCTCCTCCTCCTCCCCCTGCTCCTCCTCCTCCTCTTCCTCCTCCTCCTGCTCCTCCTGCTCCTCCTCCTGCTCCTCCTACTCGTCCTCCTCCTCCTCCTCTTCCTCCTCCTCCTCCTCCTGCTCCTGCTCCTGCTCCTCCTCCTCTTCCTCCTCCTGCTCCTGCTCCTGCTCCTCCTCCTCCTCCTCTTCCTCCTCCTCCTCCTCCTCCTTCTGCTCCTCCTCCTCCTCGTGCTCCTCCTCCTCCTCCTGCTCCTCCTCCTCCTGCTCCTCCTCCTCATCTTCCTCCTCCTCCTCCTCCTCCTCCTCCTCCTCCTCCTGCTACTCCTCCGCCTACTCTTTGCGGGAGCTTCTGCGCCCACGGCGCCAGCCTGTGGTGTGGAGGTGCTCCAGGAAGGGGGGGTTGTTGACTTCTGGCCGCTTCTTGCAGATCGGTATGGAGGAGGAGGACCCAGGTCTCCCAGATGGGGTCCGAGCAGATCGGGTCGGAGGATCGCGCGCGCCGCGTCGCCGACGCACCGCCGATGCGTCTCGATGTGGAGCCCTATTTTCTCCGCGCTGGCGTCGTGAGTCGGCGAGCTCGCGAGTTCCTCTGCGAGGTCGGCGAGGTCGGCCAGCTCGTTTCCATCATTGGGTAGTGTACATTGCTCGAGGTCTTCTCCACGTACTCGTTGCCAGAGGTCCGCTTGGTGGAGTTGCCACCCCGCTTCGAGCAGCGCGGCTATGGCGGCGCCAGTCGGTCCAGTGCCGTATGACCAGATCCGTGGGCCAACCCTGACCAGCCTCGGCTTGAGGAGGGTGCACGTGCGTCGTATGCGCGGGTGGAGGTGAGGGTTGTCCTGCCAGAAATGAAGCCACTCACTTAGTTGGAGCCGAGGTTGTACTCCTGGATCTGCACCGTCGAAGCCCGCTCCAAGTAGTGTGCTTAAACAGCGGCCCGCTGCCTGGCCCGCCGTGGCCGCGGCGGCCTGGCGCCTCCATCTGAGCAGGGCGTGGCGTGCGAGGCCTCGGACTTGATGTCCATACACTCCTTGTGGAAGGGCTCCCGCAGCCCAAAGTCCTCGAGAAATGCGTGCCCGTAGGGCGGCCCGTCGTATGCGTGCAATTATCCTGGCGCGAGAGGTGGCTGCTGCAGCCCTGCCCCTTGCCTTGAGCTGCGCTCGACGCGCACCAGCACTGGTGTCGATGCCGAGGTCGGCGGCCTCCGTGGCTGTGGAGAGCGGCAGTCCAGCCCTACGAAGCCTGTCCGCCAAGGAGGAACGAAGCTTGGCGTTGTTGGCGAGAAGGGCGCTCTTGGACGAGACGGGCAGCTTGGCATTGTCCAAGGCCTGTTTGAGAGCCACACCAGCTTGAAGGATGGCTCGATGAACTGTCTTGGCGGTGCCCTCGGCTCTCGCCACTGCGTCGTCGACGAAGGTCCACGCGGTGGCCGCCTCAGCCCGGTGTCGCGCGTGAGTGAGGATCGGGGGCAGAACGAGCCTGGCTGGAGTGGTACCCCTCGGCGAGCCAGCCACAGCCCCTTGCCAAGCCTGCATCGGGTCGCCCACCCAGCTGCGCGAGCGAAGGACACGGGGGGCAATGAAAAGTTGGGTCTCCATCAGGAGCGCGATGGCAGGGACATGTTCGTCGAGGCCGACCGCGATGAGCCTGCCGAGCTGGACGTGGTCGTAGAACTTCTCCAAATCCATGAGCAACGTAGCAGGCGGATTCGTCGAGGAAGGCTCTGTGTAGCGCAGCAGCAAGAGCCGAGGAGCCCCTCATGGCCGTGCACCAAAAATCATGTAGCCCTTCACTCCAGAGGTCGCATGGGCCCGCCCTCAAGCGGCTCCAGGTGCGAGCAATGTTAGGGAGGACTCCGAGGACGCGGTCGCCGCCTAGCTTCTTGGGGGCCATGGCGGCCATGGTGAGGTGCACCTGCGGAGGCCACAGGGCCTGCGTCTCAATGAGTTTGAGCAGGCGCGCGTACTGGTCGAGGGCCTCCTCGGGTAAGCGGAGAAGATCTCTGGGGCCCATCATGTCTGCGCCCATCACTTTATTGGGCGGCATGCTGTGCAGAACTCGGATGAGGTGCTGGAGCTCAATGGAGGCCAGGTCCTCCTCCAAGGCCCTCTCTCGTGCTCGTCGTAGCGCATGAAGTACGTCATGAATGGTCTCCTGGGTGGACCAGACTGCCTTCCGGTAGTGTGTCTTGTGCTGCATGACGACCTCGGTGAGTCGGAGATGGTGCGGCCCGAGTCGATGACCTCGAGCTTGTCGGGTAGTTGCGGCTTTACTTGTCTGTGTAGTAGCCCAGGCTTGGTGCGCCATTTGTCCTGGAGCCAGCCAGCGTATTGCTTCCTGGATAGGCGGGCGGCCCTAGCAGCTGCACGTCCTGCCCAAGCGTCCGTGGTGGCTCGGAGCTCGAGGGTATCGTTCTCGTCTAGCTGCTGGAAGTTGGCTACCCGTCGAGTCCAGGTCGTGAGTTCTTCGTCGCCTACGTCAGGTAGTAGGAGCTGACGCTGGGTGTTGACCGCAGGGGTTCTGTCCTGGATGAGCCTTGCGACGTCGTCAATGAGGAGGTGGTGTTTCTTGTGCTTGACCAGGGCGAGGCCTTTGTGTAGGAGGGTACGCGTGATGGCCTACCACTCAGCAGCCTCGTTCTTGATGTGGGTGCGGCCAGGCGTGGGAGTTGCCCGTCACCACTCGAAGGAGACTGGTTCGCTCCTGCCGGCGTAGTGGTACCGTTCGTGATCAGGGGTACTTTGGTGGATGAGGAGGGTGCTCTCATAACAAATGGCCCAAGCTGCGTAGGCCTTCTTGACTGCTTCAGCCTGCGACTGCCTCTCCAGGTGCAGGGCATGCGATGGCAAACTCGAGGTCGTCTTGCTCTGAGGTGTACTAGTGGTCTGTGATGATGAAGGGACACTGCAGCGTCGGGGCTCGTGCTGAGATCGAGATGCGGAGGGGCTCGTGGCTGCTGTCGGAGAGGGGACAAGGCGATGCCGACTAGAAAATCCATGCCCAAGTAACTCTGCTGCTGTCGATGTCGCGGTTGTGCCCCATTGAGTCTGCCAGAGACCCAGTGGGACGAGATAAGGCACGCCTGGATCGGGGAGCCCTTGGGTAGCTGTGTCAACATGGGGCTCGGGGGTCTCGTTGATATCGTCGAATGCATCTCTAAGTTCCTCTTGTAGTGCGTAGGAGGAGAAGGAGGAGGAGGAGGAGGAAGAGGAGGAGGAGGAGGAGGCGCACGGCAGGGTCGCGCCGCGCCAAGGTAGGGCCGTGTCGCGCCGGCGCGGCGGCGACCCCAGCGCGGGCGCTCAAGACTGAACGCCGCCCGTGGCAAAGAATCGCCCGATATCGCACTCAGGCGATCGCAAACGTGGGTCGAGGGGGCGTGGATTAGCGACGGGTCCCGTTTCCATGGGGAATCGCGGGCTTCCGCCGCCGAGCCAGTCGGCACCGGCCGCATTTTGGGGAAGGCACCTTCCCCGATCCATGGACTTGGCGACCGCGCGCCAAATCCATGGATCGCTGATCCATGTTTGCGCGCCCCCGACACACGACATGAGCTATCGGGAAGTCGCAATCGTCTGGGTCGGCGTAGTGGGGCCGGCGCAGACGGGGCCGCGGGGAACGGTGCCATGGTGTATGATTGCGCCTGATCGCGCGCGGCTTTCGCGGGGGGGTAAGCCCTGTGGCATTCCAGGCCTCCCAGATGGGGTCGAAGGATCGCTCCACTTCGCCGATGCATCGGCGATGCGGCTGGATGTGGAGCCCGATTTTCTCCACGCCGACGTCGCCGGTGCATCGCCGATGCATCGGTAATGCATCGGTGATGCAGCACGATCCCCCGACCCTATTTACTCCGACCCCATCTGGGAGGCCTCTATGCATGGGCCAGCAACTATGACATCTGAGCAATCTCAGCAACCGCATCCGCGCAAAACTAGCAAACCTAGCCCGCAGAGAGGTTCATCCAAACGCAAACCAACGCAACTGCTACTGCACCCCGTACCCGCTGCCCCATGTCCGCGCAGGGCCCAACCACTCCGATCGCTCAAGGCTGAACGATCCACGCGGTGTCAGAAACGCACGCCGAAGTCATCACGACACGGACGTCGGCGAGGAGGAGGATGAGGAGGAGAGAAGGAGGAGGACGAGGATGAGGATGAGGATGAGGTTGTGAAGGAGGAGGAGGAGGAGGAGGAGGAGGAGGAGGAGGAGAGGAGGAGGAGTGGAGGAGGAGGAGGAGGACCAGTGCAAACCCAAGACTCATCAACGGTTCAGGCCCCTACAAGGATCGATTTCCGCTGAGGGGAGTGCTGCGTTGGGAGACAACCGCTTCAAGTTCCTGAAGCGGACCAAAACGCTATTCTCGGAATGTCACCGCCGCGAATCAACCTGACTGCTGCGTCTTGACGATTCTACACCATTCCTGGGATTTCAACGCTGCGAACCACTTGTAATTGTTGCGCCCTCACCACCGCGAAGCGCTCCGAAGCAAAGAACAGGTTTGGTACGTGAACTGTCGGAACCCGTTTCACTCTTGCGGGGTCTTTCGAGTCGAGTGTGCGCGGCGCCGAGGCGAGGACCACATCTTTGAGGGAGGCGCCCTCCGCCCGTGAGAAGCCCTTGCAGCAGTTCAGAGACGAGTGCGCGCGGCGCGACGGACGGCAAGAGCCCCATCCTGAAGACGAGCCGCCCGCAAGCCGTGAAGGTCTATTCAGCTGCTCGAGCCGAGCGTGCGCGGCGCTCCGGTTCCTGACGATCGTGGGGCCCAGCGAGGGCCCCCCTCTGCCGAGAGCAGCAGAGGAGGTCCGCCTGACTTGTTTCTCGGCACGTGGGAGGCCGCGCGAAGGCCAGGCCGATGGCACAGCTCCAGTCGTGGCTCCCTCGCGCGGCGCCGTGGTCTCCTGACCAAGAAGCGAGTCAGAGGCTCGGGGCCCTGGCCCCCCATGACGCTCTTGACTTTTTAAGCAACGAGCGCGCGCGGCTCTAATAAGGCGAGGGCCACATGTGGAAAGCCGCCCACCCGCCCTCCGTCTGTGGAACGGTTGCCAGTCTTTGAGCTTCAGGGCCATACATGGTGAGGAACTCTCAGGCGGAAAGCCCTGCCCGCCCTTTCGACTGGCCTCGGGGCGCCACGGGCAGGAGTTATTTCTGAGGAACAGAATGGAGGAGGAGAGTAAGGAAGGGGATTTGGAGGGGAGGACCGTGGGGGAGAGGTCTCTCGGCTTGACGACTCTTGTACCATCGGCGTGCATCTATGTAAGTCCAGGCACATCTGGGCAAATCTGGACGAATCCCTGAATTTCTCAGCGTGCGCCGATGCACCGCAGAAGTCATAGTAGGCCCTGGAGCGAGGAGGAGGTAGGGCGGGAAACAGGACCTCAAGGGCTTCCTGATGGGCAAGGGAGGCGCTCGCCTCTTCGACATGTCCGATGAGTTCGGCGTAGTGGCGGCGACCGTCGCGCGCCTGCGTTTCTTTCCCCCCCTCTTCCCCGAAGAGACAACACCATCACTTCCGGAGCTCCGCCTAAATTTCTTGTGTCGGCGCCAGGGAGGGAGGTCCAGCCCCGATCCCAGAAACCCGCGCGGAGCTCCGAACGTTTGTGTTTATGCCGTTGCTTGTGTCCCTTCTTCTTGCACTGGGCCGTCCTTCTCATCGCCCCTCCTCTTCCGCTTCCGCTGCTCGGGCTCTTTTGATCGAAGAACCATAGCGTTTCTGTTGCATCGAACAACTAAGCGTTCCCGACTTTGGCGATTGGGCCTCAGCTTCGAAATGCGAGTATGGATGCAGCACCAGCAGGCGAATGGACATACGAAGGCGAACCAGAATCAGGGTAAGCCCGCAAGATCACGTGTGCGGCGCAAGCTGTGTTGGTACGGCAGGGATGAAAAAGGAAGATGAGGAACCGTACCCCACCCTTCCCTCCCCCTTCTCCCGTGGGACCGCTTGGGGAGCGCGCCTCGCCATCCCTCCTCCCAAGCACGCCCATCCCCCAGTTCTGTTTGTATGCCGTCGCAGAGGGGCGTCTGGGGATCGCCCAGCAGCAAGGAGAGGGGGTGGATGGGGGGGGGATGGCTTCACGTCGGGGCACCGTCAACAAGGGGGAGGGGGTTGGGTTGGAAGAGGAGGGAGATGGAGTGGGATTAGACTGCGCTTCAGCGAGCAGCTCTGTGCCAGCCAGCCCTGGTGCCGGCGACCATCAAGAACTCGCACATGTTTGTTGCGAGCTCGCCTGCCTAGCACAGGGAACAGGAAGGCGTCTAGAAAAGAAGGAAGGGGGGAGGGGAAAAGAGATGGTACAATCAACCCGCATAGTAAGGATGGGGAACCTTACCAAGAGTATTCTTGCATCCTTGCCCCTTCGACCCATCCTCAGCAACTTTCGCTGGCCAGTCTCGTTCTAAGAAAAGTTTAACATGGGCCTATGGGATCCTTGCACCCGTATCGCGCATCCTCCTGCTACGGGATGACTGTAGGGGGGTCGGAGGGACGGAGAGGGGCGGGCCCAGGTGATCGCCGCGGAGGGGGAGAAGCCCGAGGACTACGAGTCCGAGCAGGAGGCGGAGAAGGCCGAGGAGAAGGAGGACCCCGCGGGGAGCGAGCGCGGCGCGCCCGCTCTAGGACGATGGCCTCCGCCGTCCTCTCCTGCTCCTGGCCCTCGCCTCCCAACCCTCCTCCTCATCCTGCTCCTCTCCCCCCCTTCCTCCTCTCCTGCTCCTCCTCCTCGCCCCCCACGAGCACAGATTGTGAGCACTGCGCCCCCCCCCCTCTCTCCCCGTGCGGGATGCGCCTGGCCCTCTCCGCGTGACAGTTTTACACAGGATTGTTGGGCGGACGCGTTGTTGTTCCCTCGCGCGTGTCCTCTTATCTTGGTGGTGCCCGACGCTTCCGCGTGGCCCTCCTCCTCGGATCGGCGCGCCGCTCCCGCCGTGCAGCCAGGCGCTCGCGCCCCCGCGGCGGCCTCTGCCGTCGGCCTGGCCCCGCTCGTGCCGCGCCCCCTCCGCTCCAGCTCCTGCTGCTGCTCCTCCTCGTCCGCCTCCTTCTGCCTCCTCCCCCCTCGTCGTCCTCCTCCCCCTCGTGCTTCTCCTTTCGCCTCCTCGCCCTGCTGCTCGTCCTCCTCCGTTCGCCTCCTCCCCCATCTCCGTCAGCTCACCCACCGCGTCCTTATCCGATGCGCGCAGCTCCAGTTCCTTGGAGTTGCGAGTAGTTACTTTGCGAGTAGTGGAACGCGCTCGTCTACCACTGCTGCGATGAGGGTCCTCTACTGGAGTAATTCCTTCCCCCCCTCCCTGCTTCGGACGGGGCTGGGACGAGGATCAGTCCGTTCCAGGGTGTTCCGGAACGCTCCCAGAGCGTTCCGGGACGCTCTGAGAGGGCCGCGGCGCCCGAGACGTCCTCCAGAGCCGCGGTCTATTTTCAAAGGTTCTCGATTTATCCTCACCCGACGCTATTCTCGTCCTGGCTTCGTCTGGCTGCTCGCCCATGCCCCTGCGGAGGCCTTTGGGGAAGCCCCGCCGCCCTCCGAGAAGGCCTTCTATTTTTCACTGCCACCCCTCGCTCAACGCCGATGTGAGGGTCATCCGCAGGGGTAGCTTTGGACGTAGAGCAGACATGAAGAACGGTGCCTGTGGCGTCCTGGGCAAACAGAGTGCGGGGCCTCAGGGAACACATACGCCGACTGGGGCCAGGGCAGACAAAT